TTAGACTTATTTTGGTGTAGACAGCTCTCGTTTAATTATTTTACACCATTACAAGTTGTTAAATTGAGAGAATAAATGTGCAGACAAATATTTTAGACTTATTTTGGTGTAGACAGCTCTCGTTTAATTATTTTACACCATTACAAGTTGTTAAATTGAGAGAATAAATGTGCGGACAAATATTTTAGACTTATTTTGGTGTAGACAACTCTCGTTTAATTATTTTACACCATTACAAGTTGTTAAATTGAGAGAATAAATGTGCAGACAAATATTTTAGACTTATTTTGGTGTAGACAACTCTCGTTTAATTATTTTACACCATTACAAGTTGTTAAATTGAGAGAATAAATGTGCAGACAAATATTTTAGACTTATTTTGGTGTAGACAGCTCTCGTTTAATTATTTTACACCATTACAAGTTGTTAAATTGAGAGAATAAATGTGCGGACAAATATTTTAGACTTATTTTGGTGTAGACAACTCTCGTTTAATTATTTTACACCATTACAAGTTGTTAAATTGAGAGAATAAATGTATGGACAAGTATTTGAAACTTATTTTGGTGTAGACAACTCTCATTTGATTAATTCCAACAATTACAAGTTCTTAAACTGACAGAATGAATGTATGGACAAATTCTTTGTTTACTTGTTTACGGTTTGAGAGATTTCAGTTTATTTGATTTACGTTTTTACGGTAGCTCTGAGCGGGACTCGAACCCACTGTCTTTTCAAGCTAATTTTGTTTTATTTTGATGGCACGCTTGTGTACCACGCCACGACGTTGGTCGTTAAGTGGTGTTTATTTTCTAACTACTCCAGTGTTCCGATGAGTTGAACGGAAAAGCCAAAACGATTGCTGGTTTCTGATTGCTTCGGTTCTGGTGAGTGTGTATCTAGTGTGATTCGAACCCATGTCGTTTGTATTGGGCGTTTTTTTATTTCCCATGTTAGCTACGCCGTAATATGCAACCACTTCCCCGTTTTATGGTGATTTTGAGTGTTTAATGATGTCTTCCTCACGCGTCAC